CAAAGCGTACATCTTCAACATACATCAGAGCAGCTGGTGTGAGAAGAAGTAAATCCTTTTTTTAGAACTTGTCTTTTACTCCTTTCTTTGGTTTGCGATTCAAAAGTCGTCCCAAAACTAAATTTTTTTTAGTGACATATTGTCTTGCAATGCGTTATTCCACGATATGTTGATACGTTGAGCAAATATTTGTAAGTACCAAAGTCTTTATTGGAATGCACAATCAACTTTCATATAAGAAGATTCACTTTCAGCAGGAAATAACAACTCTTTTTGGTAGATATTTGTTGCCATGGATGGTCGGGAATTTTTGTAAAGCCAAAGTATTTTCTAAACAGCCTAGTAAAAAATCTTTCCTCACAAAAACATTTTTATTTTACAATTTGTGGAAATAAGAGACATACATTTACAAATATAAATACCTTTAACTTTTTAATAAACAGTGTGCCACTTTAGGCGCGCTCAATAAACTATAAAAAAATAACTGCATCTTTGGTAATGTGCCATTTTTGGCACGCCCAAAAATTTTCATTGTTCCCTGGTTCGTTGGCAATGTGCCATTTTTGTCACACTCAAATTGTTTAGTTTATAAAAAAAAATCAATATTCATATTTCTAATTACTGACCTGGGTTATGTTTTCTCATTTTTAATCTGTGCAAATCACTTAGATAAGTAAACACTTTATAAGTAAACAGCCTAAAATATTGAAATAAGAAGTAATTTACTAACCTTCTACACTAAGCCTCCATAATTCCTTTTCTATATGTTGGTCTAAAGTGATAGTAATATCCAAAACATCCACTATAGTGCACTAAACCATAATAGCAAAAGGCAAAGAACCTTTGGACGCCATTTGTTGGAATTAAAAAGTTAACAGGCGAACGTGACATTTTTTCGAATCCTCATGTGCCAATAATGGCACGCTGTCAAATTAAGGGCTAGAAACGTAGGTAGAGTACTGAATTGTAAATCGTGAAATATCAGAGATCAAACAATAATAAGAGAAATGCCAGGAAAAACAATCTTGCACGATATGATTGCCGGATTTCTCCACCTATACTTGTATAGGTCAACTTATTATAAACATAATACTCTCATTAGTTATCAAATAATTATTTTTCTATATGGTATGCTACTTATAAATTTATTACTCGGTAGAGTCAACATATTTAACACTACAAAAATTCACGGTAAGACGCTCTTCTAATTCCACCAATCATTATTTGGATAGCTCTTGTTGTATTGGGGTTAGGTTAGGAGATTCTGAGCCAGAGGTGTACGGCCTCCAGTATGAGAGGGAAGGCACGCACCACGCGGCTCAGCAAGGCCAAGTGTGGAGTGCAGGAGGGCCAAAGTCAAGGAAAGTGAGCGACTTCCTACGCCGACTGTCACTAGGACACTGTGTTGTACAAGGCAGACACTGGGGTGGGAGTGTGCTTACGTCAGAGGAGAGGATTACATCTGGCTATTCATTTTTGTTTATACAAATTTGGCGTATTTTGGTTTTAATGTGTGTGACGGAAGTGAGATTCCTAAATTAACTAGTATTGTCTGGTGGAGATAAGAAAGGATCTTGTTCACTGAATTAAAATTTAGTCTGAAGTCAAATCGGTCAAATAGTAAATAAGTGCAAGTAAAACACAGTTTAGCCGAAATAATGGTTTGACAAAGTCGAATTTTCTATAAGCAACTTCAATGAATTAAGTGATAAAAATCTGTTTATTGACACGGAAAAATGTTTAAAGTCACGAACCCATAATAAGGTATTTGGAATGACGAGAGCAAACGTTAACCATTCAGTAAGTTTAGGAATGGTTAATCCTTTTATAATTAAAGACTGCTTACAAAAATGTTTGATTTTTTTTTTTGTGTTCACAGTTTGGCACAGTTTTTTTGTTATGTTAAATTTGTTGGTCTATAATATAAAATAAAATAAAAATTAGAACCGTTTAACGTGACGAACCTATAAAACCTACATAGGCATACCTTATGAAGCAACAAAAAACAGATAAATTTAGTTAAAGTTAAACGCGTTGAAAACTAAGACTAAACGATCTACAAAGTCTTTATTTCAAGTGCACAGTCAAATAGAGGAACATATGGTGTCACAATCCAAACTGGTTACAATTTTGCATAGGGAAATATCTTTTCTAGTAATCGTGGAAATGTCTCAATTACTATTTTTACATGTATATTTTGAAAATTATTATATTTGGTTCAAGTTTTGAAAAGAAATGAGGCGTGGGTAACATTGTATGAATGAAATTAAAAGTATTTTGAGGGTTAGGAAAAACTAATTTCGGACTCCAGGTGTTAAATACACAAATTCCACATTAGAAAACTGTATTGATTGAGAGGATAACCTGAGGATGTTGCAGTCGCCACGAAACATGTAGTTGTTTATCTACCAACACTAAACGGATATTGTAAGGTAACAATAATAATTTAATTAATATAAAGCAATATCCAGAAGTAGGACAATGAATTCTGATGTATTGATTCATCTCCTAGTGTTTATTATATAGTTCCTATCTTACAAATCAACACATTTTTTTATCTGAACTAATAAAGTTAAAAGCCCAATCCTACTAATAAAAATTGTTCCTTTAACTAACCATTTAAATATCAAACCATGTTTATAAAGCTCAAAAAGTTGTATAAAGCTAATCCAAGAAACAATGTGTTCCTTAAATTTTCCACTTGGTTTATGTTACAATATAAAAATATGTATAAAGAACAGAGTAATATTTGTATTATCTTTCATATATTTATGGCTTGACTTTAAAAAAAAAACATAGCTTAGCATAAAAACACAACTATAGATACAACAATAAAAACTATGAATTGATCACATTACTGAAAGTACTAGTATCATTGAGCTGTGTATGGTTATACAGTAACAAATACAAAACTCAATTGAGTTATATTTTAGAAAAGTAGTAATAAGTGTGAGTTTAAAAACAAAACTAATACTGTATTGGTAATATTTCAAAGGTATGGTACACTATATTGCACTGAACAAGCTTAATTTGTTAGGAATAAGAATATAGCATTTTAAATCAGAATATTACTTATTAAAATGTAATTCTACAACATTAAGGACCACAGTTCATTATGATAGGATTTTCAAATGTTTTAAGATTTAGTATAATATTCTAATTTGGTTGTGCTTCCATTAGACGCTTCTATTGAAAATTATTACACCCCAAGAAAGTCAAGAACCTGCGATATTATTATCAAGCCGTTTAATCTGAAACAGAATGTGAATTAAAAATAGTTAATATTCCAACAAAACTTTGCACATAAAAATATTTTAAGTAAACAATAATTTTTATTCTAAAATGATCCTAGTTTTACTACTGCAATAAATGCATTGTTAATTGTTGACACGTTGCTCAAACAAAAGAACTGCATTTAAGAAATTAAGAAACGAGGTAAAACCGTACAACTACTCCATATCAGACTACTTTGGGGGAAGTGGAATTCAATTAACGCGAATTTTGGGGTGGAGTAGAAGCCCAAGGGGCGCAAAGCTTGATAAAAGGCGAACATCCGATCCTGCAGTCTGAACTGTTCGCAGTATGGGGTGTCTCAAAAAGCAATCTACGACTTTAAGAGTTTTACAGTTTTAGAGGTGCAACCTAACTATTATAAACTTGGATTTTGTGTAATTATTACGTTTCATTTGATCATTTAAGGTTAATATGATGAATATGGCTTCTATGGATGATCCTGTACATGATTAGCAAAATCGACTGTTCAGAAAAACTTCAATATTAATCATATCAAAATTCCAAAAGATTGTTTGAAAAAATCATTCATTACATTAAGCTGTATAACTCAAATTGAAGGCCTCTATGATTGTATTTCCAATGCAGTGTTTGTATCTTATACTAGTTAAAGTCTCTTACAAGCATTATACGAGTTAACTCACTAAAGTAATCAAATAAAAATCAACCGCATCACTTAATGCCGTCTGTTACATTACTGTTTATACTGTAGAGCGAACCCCCTTTGAATATTTTAGTAAAAGTGGTACCACAACGAAGTTAAATGGATAAACTAAAGGCGTCAATGATGCAAAGTAATGTTTAACTCCCTCTTTATAGGATACATTGAGCTGCTTGGTGTATGAATTTTGCGAGATGTTGTGTAGCGTTTAGGAAATATAGTAACTACCATAACATTCAAAAACTCATTTATCGTATTCATAATTGTATTTAGTAGAGCGAATAAACAACAATTGAGTAATATTATCATAAAAATATGATTGAAAAGTAATATATGGCTTATTGAAAATAAATGATAATGAAGGAAGTCTCAAACGTCTCTGTACATACAATATGGGCTTTAAACTGGTTCAGAAACCAAATGTTTCGGGGTGTTCAGATCTTTAGAAAATGTGCTACGCAAATCATAATCGTTAATTTATTATTGATGTATGCATTACATTTGTAGCAATTAGTGTATACTCTTAATTGCATTATTAAACGTAAAAGACTATGTGACCTGGTGCTTACTTACTGAACGGAATCTTACGTTTAAATCATTTTCTTGGTAGTTGATTGCATTATTGTTGTTTTGGTTTTGAATATAAAAATGGAATATAATTGTAATTAGTTATGAAGTTAATTATATAATTATCGTAACTCTATCTTATCCTACACGATTGTTTTTCTCTCTACATATATTTTACTCATTTTTAGTAAAATTCTGAAAAATAGTTGCATACTTAAACTAATTTACATTCACAAGTGTTAATTTTCACCTATTTTCACGCCGTTTTTGCCCACCTCTCTGTATGAAACTGCAGACTATCTATTCTGGGCTCTTTTTCTCTCGCTTTTTCGCGAACCCTTCTTCTCCGGAGACGCCGGTGCCGGTGCATTCCTGAAGCTGCTTCTACGGCCAATGGGGAGCCGTAGCGCTGACCCGCGCCTCTCCCTCCCCCCGCGGTCGTATTTAAGCCCCGGCGCGCCGCCGCGCACGTCAAGTCTACCGCGAACGTACGTACGTTGCTAGTGCACACGGACAACGGACAGCGGCTGGAAATACCCTCCGACCTTGGTGAGTTTACACTTTTATAAACTACAACATTTATTTTTCATAACTATCCTTGAATAATATTTTTATTTTTTCGGATTTTTCTTTAATTTAAAGTTTTTGAATTATTTTGTTGTGTAAATTACGTATCAATAAGTTTCAAAGAAGGCCGGGTCGGCGAAGAAGTGTCGAAAAGAAGGACTAAGTGCCCAAGTGACTGTGAAGTGTGTGAAGTGCTATGTGAACTGTGGGTTGTCGCCGGTCCCGTTGAAGCAGTGTTCCAAAAAGGATACACATGACTTAGGAAGGGCCCCCGTGGAGACCGGCGTTTCATGTACCAACCGCTCTACGATATTCGTAACACAGAGGGTGGGTGTTGATCTATTAGAGGATTTGAGCATACATTTTGTGTATGGAAAGGAGAAAATTACCGAATCATGTTTTAGTAGATCAGATGAAAATGCGTTAGGTTTAGCCGGTTTATAATTTTCCGTGTTTTCAAATATACATAGTATTTAAATTTGTTATTTAGTTATAAACACAAAATCCTTTCTTCCTTCCATAATGTTTCATTAAAGTAAAAAAAAACTCTCTGCAAACTATTTACATATATGCTGGTTCTAGAAATGAATTTTATATCCTTTACAATAAGCAATATACAAGTTACACAACACAAGTACAAGTTACAGTAGTTAGTATTAACAGTGTTTTAGTTTTTATTTATACAGCATGTTATAATATTTTCTGTTTAAATCGGATTATTTTGTTTTCATACTTTTAAGTATTTCATGTTACGTTTCCAATATATATATCTTGCTGGTAAATCGTCAGAAAACATATTCTACCAAATAATTTACAAACATTGTGTATAAATACTTAAAATATGATAGTTTTCAAATAGCCTATTGGTTTATAAATTTTAAGTTACTGTATATGCAAACGATCTCAAATAAATCTGTACAGTATTTAGGGAAGTACAAAATTTACAATGTGATAAATCCAAAATAAACGTGATCGCTTCTTTTCAAACAACTCATAACAACAATACATGATTAATTGTTATATAGGAAATGTTGATAGTAACGTAACAGAATTTATAGCTAGTTTATTTGAGATTTGTGATAGTGTTACTCTGAAAAACTATACAATTCGTTTGTTGCCTCATATGACTCTTCCGAAGACATTATAAAAGTGAAATCAAAGACACTGTTATTAACATCGATATTCTATATTATTTGTTAGTCGTTTAAAAGTTTTGTAATAACAAAATAATATGGTTTATATATTTTCTTTTTTTATATAATACAACTAGCTGGACCGATTTTCTTTTTTTATATAATACAATTCAAGCAAAATGTATTCATAAGCGAAGCAAGCTACTGTATAGAGAGTAAGGCGACCTTGAACATCGCACAGTGTTCTTGTCCATTAGTCGTTAGTGCATCATACCGCTCTTGGCCCTTGGTAACTTCCGAGTTGAAACCGTCCGCCACTTTTTGCTTTAATCTAGAACTTATGTCGTTATGAGTTACCTACGATTACACAATAAATTTAAACTATAGTTAAATTACTTATAAATACACGATGTACATACTTCATTTGATGCATCAGAACATATTCAAGCTTTAGTATTAATATAATAATTCAAAGAAAAAGTATTTATCGTTTGTAAATAATTAATGTCACGAAACATTTTTATAAGTTCTAAAGCGAGGATTCCTTTGTTAGTTAAGTTCAATTTGTCAATGAATTTTTATTGAGTGACTTTTTTTATATCCATCACAAACAACTTTAACCAGCAAAGTACTTTTTAACAGAATTAAACCTTGTCTTTTCATGTACTGTATTACAAACAGAGCGAGTGTGGTAAAGAACCACACCAAGGTAGTTGTCTGGACTGGCGCTTCATATAATTCTTTAAGAAATTTTTGATTTTAAAATAATCAGATATAGGTTAACGTTTTATACAAGGAACTCGACGATTTTGGTAACGTTGTCTTTTATACATATAACTTCCTGTAATAGTGTTTAGATTTGGTGAAATCCAGTATCTAAATGTTTAAGTGTATCATATCAATGTAATGTGACAGATTAGGCAATATAAGATTATTTAAGGATTTCCCCTCGTAACGGCCAATATCGATGGATTCTTTTGTCCTTCTGTACATGTGTGCCGGACATTCATTATTGTCAAAGGTCAGCCCGGCCTAACTAGAGCGCAAATAAATCAGAATTTGGCCCCAGTTAGGGGAAGTTTTGAGGGGGGATGAGTGAGTCAGGCACGTCGCACTGTCAAGGACACCACATCAATACTCTCGTCTGCGACTCTTCGCGCCCCTCCCACGGTCGCGGAGGCTGAGCTCCAGACACGAGGATCGCAAATGTTTTGGCAGATTACAATGCTAGTATTTAGTTTTTGTTTGTTTAGAAAAAAATGTCAGGCCTAGTTGTTCTTTTAAATTCGATCTTACAATTTGCAACAATATTTTTCTTTTTCATTACCATAACCATTACCTACCATTGAGATAGGGACGTAACATACGCACGTATTCTTAGGGTTAAAATGAGTTAGGGTTGAGAGTGGAATGTTATGAGATGCATTGTGTAGCTTTGTTACTGATTAAGAGTTATTTGTAAGGACCATCTACTTAATCCAGTAAATTTGTATTTAAATTTACTCGTAGCAAGAAAGTTTTGGGGTAGTTTTGATTTTTTCCATTTCTTATGTATTTTGGGGTGCTGAATCAAAATCTGAGGTTTGCCAACAAAAATTCTTGACGCAACATTGACAAAAATGAGAAAAATATGGAAAAAATTATATTTTTCGTAATATTTAGCTTATAACTCAGAAACTATCAACTTTTCGTTATTAGTCTATATTATAAAAATTAAAGTACACAAAATTTGCTACAAAATGTACCCCTAATGTGGTAATCTCCGATGAACCGTTTAGGCTCCAGAGCTATTTGAAAATTGGAACATTTTGTGTTAGTTTTTAAATTTCTCAAATTATTCTGTCAATGAAATATATTCATTATATATGCCCAGGCAAAGGTCTTATATAAATCCAAAGTGTTAAAATTGATTAATTTTGTGTTACTGAACCGTTGATTTTTTATTTAGTGTACAGAAAAGTTACACAAACTGTTGCCGTTTAAATTATCCTCGCTCAGAGGGTTGTAATGAGGCAGGTTCTGGCAAACATTTCGATGCATTATTTGTGAGCTTGTTCATCTGGACAGTTAAAAAAAGGTTAAAAGTAAAAAAAAAATACACATAATAATAAGTAATAGCCTACCAAAATCAATACTATCAAAATTAAAATAACAGCCATCAGTTAATCATGTAATATCGTATGCACCTGATGACGTAATATTAAGATATACGTAAATAATAAAATGTTATGTAGGCATAATTATACTGTTGCTAAGCATTTAAGTTGTGTGTAGATTTGATAGATTGTAGGTCCTAGGGCGTAGGGGATAGGCCTACATGAGAGTGGTAAGGGTTAATTGATTTAAGATAGTCAATACGAATTTTGGCTAGAAAAATAAATCCAACATTGCCTCACTGCCCCCCAACTCAAGCAGCTGCGTAGACGGGTGAATGAATGGGGGTGAAAAAAATTAGTATCGGCCTATGGTAACAGTGCCAATCACTCTAAGCCATGCATTGGTCTTGAAATTTTACACAGAAAATTGTATAATGGGTGCCAATACGATTGAGGATGTACAATGGGCTGTGATGCTAGAGTCTAAGTAAGTAAGAAAGTAAGTATAGAACCAAACGCACATTCCTTTATTTATTAACTTGTTAAATCTACACACAATATAAATGCTTAGCAACAGTATATGCCTACACAACATTTTATTATTTACGTATATATTAATATTACGTCATCAGGTGTATACGATATTACATGATCAATTGATGGCTGTTATTTTAATTTTGATAGTTTTGATTTTGGTATTACTTATTATTATGTGTATTTTTTTTTACTTTTAACCTTTTTTAATTGTTCAGATGAACAAGCTAGAATGCTCACAAATAATGCATCGAAATGTTTGCCAGAACCTGCCTCATTACAACCCTCTGAACGAGGATAATTTAAACGGCAACAGTTTGTGTAACTTTTCTGTACACTAAATAAAAAATCAACGGTTTAGTGACACAAAGTTAATCAATTTTAACACTTTGGATTTATATAAGACCTTTGCCTGGGCATATATAATGAATATATTTCATTGACATAATAATTTGAGAAATTTAAAAACTAACACAAAATGTTCCAATTTTCAAATAGCTCTGGAGCCTAAACGGTTCATCGGAGATTACCACATTAGGGGTACATTTTGTAGCAAATTTTGTGTACTTTAATTTTTATATCGTAGACTAATAACGAAAAGTTGATAGTTTCTGAGTTATAGGCTAAATATTACAAAAAATATCATTTTTTCCATATTTTTCTCATTTTTGTCAATGTTGCGTCAAGAATTTTTGTTGGCAAACCTCAGATTCGGATTCAGCACCCCAAAATACACAAGAAATGGAAAAAATCAAAACTACCCCAAAACTTTCCTGGTAAAAACACAAATTAACTGAATTAACTAAAACACAATGATCAAGGACATACGAGTCAAGTTTAGGAACCATCTTAAACAATCTTTATAATCTTAAATCCTTACACATAAAATAATGGTATGAACATTAGTACATACCAGTTCACTACAATGCATGACATAGATATACCATCCCCTATGTAGATATATTTGCCACATACAAATTACCTATTATGCTTTGTAATTTTTATTTTAGTTTGCAAACTTATTCAATAATTGGCCGTTGAGTCAGTTGTAGCATTGGTTATCCAACGAAGGCATCATACCACGGTTTGTGATTCACACTAATTAATATCACAACAAAGTGTAATTAGTCAAACAATTGCAAGATCCAATGAAATATCTATTATCTTTCAAAATGTTCTTACTATCGTCTTTTGAACCAGAATTCAAACATTTCAAACC